ATTTGTATCATCTAATGAAAATAACAAAATGCACTTCTAGAAATATATCCAGATCTAGACCAGTGCCCTTCCAATGAAGAGAACTGGCATCTACAAAGTGACATTTGATTATGTCTGGGTGTGTATGTGTGTGTGTGTGTATAACTATATAGTTGTATAAAAAAGTTGTGTGTATATACACATACACAAGTTTTCTTTTCTACATCTTATTTCACATCTAGGTAGTGGTGGGTAAATATCAGACATGTTGCTAAACTCCCTATAAATCTCAGGACAAATCCTACAACAAAGATGTGTCTCAAAATGTCAGCAGGACCCCTGTTTATGTGTCCTAGAATATCATAATCCTTCCTTTCTCTTTGTATATTCCAATTTAGCCACTTAGACACCATAGGAGGTAACAATAGCTATTGTTGGAAAAAATATCCTAAATTATTGGTGGGAAAAATTCTCATATATATTGTTGGTGGGAGCAATCAGTTAAAGTAACTAGTTTGAAGGCAATATATAAATTAAAATAAATGCTTCCTACTTGCATTTCTATTACAATTTTTGTATAATTTATATATTCTTTGCAAATTACTCATTCTGAGAGAATGGATGCCCTGTGTGACTTTGTCTTGAATTTTCTCATGTGAAAAATGTTAATATTTAATATCATGGCTTTCATACACACACACACACAGGATTGGATCAAGGATTGTCTTTCCAGTATTATTTGCAGTAAAGTAAATATTGGAAACATTCAATATCAATCTGCAACTAAATGTCAATCTGTAAGAAAGATGCCAAGTAAATTAGGGTATGAGAATATGAACAAAATGGTAGAATTATGTAGTCTAAAAAGAAGGATGAATATTATATATTGCAGTGTAATAAATCAGTGTGCTTGAATTTATATCAAATTTTAGCTTAAATATAGCTACATGCCACATGATGGTAGTATTTATGTGATCATTATGTGGTCAACTATGGATGACAAATAGAATGGTGGTTCTTCTACATAGTCTAGATATGTAGTAGGCTTTGATGCATGCATAATGAAAGAATCACCTAACTTCATTTCTCAAAACGTATACCTGTCATTAAGCAATAAATGACTCTGTGAGTGTATAAGCAAAGATGTGGTGGGACACAAAATAAATATTAAGAACAGGAGTAGTTTGTCATGGAGAATATATGTGGTATGATATACTCTAACTTTACATAGTTTCATAAGATTTTTAATTTTGAGCAATTTGTGAAATTAAAACTGTAATTAAGAATATATCAAAATTAATAAACATAGATGTGATCCATTTTTTAATCTAAAAAAGAAGTGAGGAAGAGCAATAATATAGAAACAATGAGAAGAGTTGCAATTAAAATTCAAAGGGAAGCTCTCATATTTTTAAAGAAAATGCTTTATTTAGACATAGCTTAATATTTGCATCAATCAAGCACATTTTATTCTTCAATACTGAATATGTTTATGAAAAACTTAAATTCTGCTTAAAAGTTAAATGATTTTCTCAAGCTCTTTACATTTGAGTACTAGAATCTAATCAGTTGCACTAGTTTTAGTTGATAGTATTCAGCATTTAAGATGAAAATTACTGAAGAAAGAAAAATGGAAATTTATCTACACTTTGCAGCTTACTTTACAAAGATTTAGAACTCTTTCATTGTATAGCTCAATCTTTCAAAAACATGGCCAGATTTTTTCATATCGTGACAATCTTAGAACATTCTGAATGTAGTGATTGGTGGCTAAAATCAGTGGGATCAGTGGTTATTCTTTAGACTTCGAAGAGATCCTTAATATTAAGGAGTGAAAACCTTAGGAAGTACTTTCATTGGATCAAAGCAGGAAACACTGTTGTTCAAATACCTGAGTAGTTACCAGTTTTCAAAGGAGATTGAAAGTTTGAATATTCCTTTGAAACAATATAGCTAGAAACAGGACCTGTGCAGAAATAATTCAGCTCTTACTCTTTTACAAAATGTCTTTAAGGCATTTTATATTATAGTCCCGAAGAACACATGCTTCTGGGCTCTATTCATAAAAAAGGAGCAAATACCATTTACTAGGAACCTTATTACACAGAAGAAATATACGGATTCCATGTAAAAATGAAAGCTATTACCTATTGTTCTAAAAGGTTTCTTCTCTAGAGTACAAGTCTTCCCAGGTTTGTTGAGAGAATTCCTGAAAATGATCTTATATCTCTCAGTCAAGAGCAGTCACCGCTAATTTCTATTTAAATTTGAAGGTTCATTTATATTTTGTCTTTATTTTAAAAAATAAATGTCTGTATTGCTTTAAGCTTATATTGCTTTCCTCTATATTTCATACTTTGTTTTATGATAGTCATTTTTTCCAAAAGAGTATGCTAAAGACTTTAAACAAATTATATGAAGTAATAAAAACATAATCTTATCAAACAAGTGCTATCACATCTTCACCAATATTTTAAAAAATATGATCTCTACTTAAATACACGCACACCCACATACTCACATATACACATTCATGCTATCATTCCCTTGCATAACATTTTTTTAATTTACAAGTCAGGGTTTTAAAATTGTATTAAATTTTGTATTAAAGTTTAGTAAAAAAAAAAGGTAGAAAAAAGAGAACCATAAAATTATCCTCCATGTTAATATGCATTTTTCCCTTTTAAATTTTAAAAAATGTTTGCATTTTCTAAAGTGTTGCTTTTTAATAAAACTATAGACTTGTTTTATAGGGCAGGCATCATTAACTTCATTTTACATATGAGGAATCCAGGACACAAAGCAGTCACATAGGTTCTTCCTGCCTCACTTATTTCCATGGTCTTTATGAAGGGGTCAATTAAAATACACAGAAAATTATCAAAGACTTATTAAAGACTTTTATGTTCTAAGTGACCAAAAAAAGAAGGCATGTAACTTTGCAGTCTAAGGGTCATAACACAGAGAATGCAGTGTGAATCTGCCTGTAGAAAATCACATTGCAATTAGTTGAACTGTGGCCTCTAATACTGTGCAACCACAGTGCATTGACCAGGAAAAGAAAAGCTTCTCTTTTTGACACTATGCTCTCAGCTTACACTCCCAAATCTGTATTATGCCATGGGATCCTTTCTTCAGTCCTTTCACTGGGCTATACTGTGGCTGATTTTTTGGTAAGAGCCATTGGGAAGTGTTAGTGACTCTTATTCAAATGTTGGTGGTAAATATTACTCTTACTTCACTTGAAGGAGCTACTATTCTGGGACAATGGGAAATTTCACTTAATATCATATTACAAGTCTACATAAAAATAATATCCGTGGTATGTCAACATTAGCATAGTAAATCAGGGATCACTAGAGTAAATAAATTCACTTCAACTCACACTCACTTAAGGAATTTCTAATGTTTTTAAAGATACTACAAGGATTGACACCACTTAGCTCTAGAGTAAAGCTGAAGTGCCTCATCTTTTTCTTAATTAGCCTGACCTGTATAAATGGAATAATTATCATTCTGTATCAGGGATAAATTGGTTCATTAATTTACCTGGTCAAAAGATCTTGTGACGTGACATTTAGGCTTCTAGGAGAACCTTGGGGGACTTATTTTTAGACAAGTCTATTTAAAGTCTTTGGACTTCACTATAATATAATTCAAACTTATCTTTCTCCTTACATAAGCAAAAGTCAAAAACAATTTCAAGAAACACTTGCCATTTCTTATCTTAGAGAAGCCTCTACTTTTTCTGTTTTCAGTAAAATTATCAGCTCACTATTGAAAGTTCTATCCCATAGAACTATTATTTTTACTAAAACTATCAGAAATGGTCCACTAAGAGAAAAAAAAATCAGTAAAATTAGAATATGAGAATAGTGTCTTCACATAAAGTATTCATATCTGGGCAACATAAGAAAATACATGAATGCACTCTATTTAGTAATCATATGTGGATTGAAAATTTTGGAATTATGATAAATGAACTCTGAAATTATTTTACCTGAAACCCAGCCAATGTTTCTTTTTAAATTGCTAGACTTATTGTGAGAAGTATATACAATTTTCTATGATGTTTAAGAAATTTAGCCTTTGAATACATCTTGTTTACCCATACAATTAAAAAAATAAACCTTGATGAAAATTGTTTGCTTTGCATTTTAAGTCTTTCTACACTTAGCAGATTTCTTGTAATCATAAAAATCACATGGGAAAGAGTGAGAGACAAAAAAGTTCAAAAAAAGATAGCTAACTTATGGTCAAAACATATGGTACAAAGTTGTCCAAAATAATGTCACAACTCCTCCACTGACAATTCATTCCATTCTAGAATCTTGTCAGACCTCCCAGATTCATTGACAGACTATTATATTCAGAATGATGTTGAGAACTTACAGCACTTACAAATGCTCTTGAGACACACAGAAAGTCTCTTTTATATAACACCTGCCAAATTTGTAGGTTTGAAACCACTACCAATAAGAATTAAAAGACCCTCTTCTTTGCAGAAATAGGACTATCAATATATAACTTGTCTCCTCATGAGAAATAGTGGGTTCTTTTCTCTGATGCTGCAATTTAGTTTAAAATCACTTTCATGATGATGACAGGGTACAAAAGGCTGATAAAACTATAAAGATGACAGTCTAATTTTCAAAGATCACTGATCATAAAAGATTAAATAACATAAACATCTAAAATGCCAGATTATCAGTTGTGAGTACACTCTCAATGTTGAAGTATGCTGAGATACTACTGATAAGTAAAAAATGTTTTCCTATATGTTATAAAGAAATAAATCTCCCCCAAGAATGTACTGTAGTTGCTCTGACTTTAAAAATGTACATACATATTTCTCACTAGTGATGTAACATTGCAAAATGTTAAATTATACATTGTAAACTGCTCATAATTATTTGTCCCTCAGAACAGTTGTTGGGAATTTTAAGTACCATTTAATCATCATTAATCACTTCTGAATTTAATCATTACTGAATTCTAATAATAAATTTAAAAATACGTACAAGAATGATTAGACATGCTGGTCCTATAAAACTCCAGATAAAATTGTTTTCTGTGCTGAGCCAACACCTGAAAAGTAAATTAAAGATAATAATCTATAAATATGTTTGTATGTACTTCAATAAAATAAAATTGTCAATGCTGTAAAAGGCATGTTCAGAATTACATGTCAAATACTTATGAAGCCATTTGAACTTACACTTTGGTGGTTCCATAGTATCTGTATCCCAATGCTGCTGAAAATCCCACGACCACTGCTGGGCTGAGATAGCCAAATATATAAAAATTCTTGTGCAAAAATCCCTTATTATAGATGACGCCCACAACAATAAGATAGAGGTGAATGCCTTCAATGCACATCCAGGCAAAAGCAGCTAAAAAGAAGTAATGCAGCAGGCCAGCAATGATTGAACAGAAGAGCTAGAAATCAAAAACGAGAAATGATCAGCATGTTTTTTCAGCATTGTCAAAATATAAATTCTCAAAATTCTCTATGAATTGTGTTACTTTACATAACACTCCACAACATTCAAATATTCCTTTCAAGTGTCTGGTTTTGAATATATTCACCTCCAGTTGATTGAATGGAATTGTGTTTCATCCATGTAAAGACTTCACCAAGCCTGTGATAGAATAAGTCACTGTTCCTGTCCAGAAGATTTTATACTTCTCGTATATATCTTGTAAGCAATAAAGTGCAGATTAATCACAAGTAAAGCATAATATCTTAGTGAGTTCATTTTTGGTTTGGAGATGCCTATCCTCGATTTCATTCTTGCTCAAAGAATGAAAATTATTGCTAATTCCATGCTAAATGAAGCATAAAAAGTATCTTGATTAAATGATAAGCACTAAATTTACAAAACAGATAAATGGTGATATATTTTGCAAAAATATTTATTATAGAATCACTTTGTTGTAAGATTATTTTAAGATGGGGTTCAGCTAAATATTAAGATGGATTTCAGCTAAAAGTTATTTGTAAATGTTTCCTTCACACCTAGAACTGGAGTTGGATATTAAAGACAACAGAAAAACCACTAATACATTCTTCTGTAATTAACTAATGCTTTCTATTACTGGGAAAATAAAATAATAAACACATATCACACTTATTAAAACAGCATAATTTAAACTTAATGAGATTCCATTCTAAATATGTATTGGAGAGTACAAAATTATGTTGGAGAATAAATAGGTCTTAGGTGAAATTGGGGGACTATTTTAGTGAGGAAGTGATATTTGAACTAAAACTTGAAAATAAGAATTTTATAGTTAACAATAAACTGGTAATAAATACTTAAAGAATTGTTTTAAGATGACAGTTGATGGTGGGATGAAGTTGAAAGAAACAGGCACTGAAGGCTATTGAGAGATAGATAAATTAAAAGTGTTATAATACCACTTCAAAACAAAAAAGAGAAACATTCAGCTCATGGTCTAATCTATACTGTTTAGAGTAGTTGCTTTGTGGCACCTTTCTCAGAAAAACCTTGAAAAGCTACAAACAGTTTCTGTCCTAGAAAGATTTCTAATAGGAATAAAAATATGAAGGTGGGCCCTCCCTTCTCACACAATGGGTTACGCCACAGCACTGCAAGCTAGCTGCACTTCAGTGCCAGTTCAATTCCCCACCCCGGAGGTGACCCACATGGTACAGCGGGCCTCTCTGATCCGCCCGCTGCTCCCCTCAGCAGTATACTTCATCAGTCTGCCTATCCTGCTCCCCACTCTGTCTCTGGTGAATCATCTCACTGCCCCTGCACCCCAGTACTGTATGCATAAGTAAATAGATCTTTAAAAAAATATGAAGGCAATTTAATATTTTGCAGTATGCTCTAATATCTAACTGATAGGAGAGCAATTTACTTATGTTCTAGCTGCTGTATTAGGAAAACCATTCTTGCATGCATGTTCCTTTGCAGTGTGCCAGCCAGTAACAGGTGTAGTACATCATGAGGAGAGAACTAATGAAATTGATACACAGGTTGTTTATATATGCTAGCATCATCAAATTTTAAAAGGGCAGATTAAGAACAATGTATATAACATGTTTAACCCATTAAGCTTTCAATTATAATTCATGTTTCCATGACAAATATTTTTGAGAAATTTAGAAAACGAACATAGTGAGTAGGGGGATCTATATACCTTGTTAGTACTTGTATTGATCCCAACAAGAAAAACAAGTTCAGCCAGGAATAGGCTACAGCAAAGATTTTTGTGAATTGTTGTCCTGGTGCTTTGAATTTCACTGAAGAACCAGAAGGTAAAAATGCATATGGCAAGGCAAATCAGTGAAATAATTATTCCTAGTTGAGTGATCCTTGTAAGAATATTGTAGTCTTTAGTGCCCTAAGGAAAAATGATAATAAAGCTGTTAAGAGAATAACTTGGTAACTTTTAAAAAAACCACAACATATAATGAGCTTCCATTTTGGTGAAACATTAATCAAAAGGTTCATAAAATGTAAAAATACAAACATGCATTAAGACTTGTACTTTCAAAAATGCTCAATATTCAGAGAAATCTGACATAAATCATGTAAGATGTTAACAGTTATGTAACTAGTGATTTATTCAAAGCATAATATGTATTAATATATGGCTTAACAATGTTATCATTATTGGTTTCATGATATCAGGAAGGCAATTCATTATCATAATGTGAAAATGGTTAATTAAAACAGATTTGTCAGTGATCAGAACAAATCTCATTTCTATGCAGCAATTTATCTAAAACACATTAAACAGGTATTAGAAATTCTGGGTACAAATACATTTTATACATAGAACACTGAAATAGTATAGTTGAGAGACTTTGAAATTGGAAAGACTGGTGTTACTTTCTTAAAGATTTATTTATTTATGCATAGAGAACTGGGGTACAGGCCAGAGGTGCAGAGGCAGTGAGAAGGTTCACTAGAGACATAGTGAGGAGCAGGACAGGCTGACTGGTGAAGTACACTGTTGAGGGGAGCAGCGGGGATCAGTAGAGGTCTGCCACACCATATGGTCACCCCTGGGCCAGGGATTGAACTCATGCTGCAGAGAGTGGCTTTAGCTTCTTAGTGCTGTGCTTCAACTCACTGCATAACCAGGGAGGGCCAAATTGATGTTACTTTAATCAGCTGGATAGTTACTTTTAAAGTATGAAAGATGTAGATTAGACAGATTTATCTGACTTCTAAGTACACTTGATACAGTTTAAATATAGGTGAAAAAAAATCCTGTAATCTAGTGAAGATTAAGACATATAGTAAGAAATGTCATAATAGAAAAGGCAAGAAATTATTTATATAATAAGCATATTATGAAACTATTCACTTTCGAGTTTTATTCTCTATAAATTTTGAGGCCTTCTGTTCTATTTAATCATGGTATTAGTGATCAGTGTAGTAATACTTATTGACCAGTTATCAAATATTTTTAACTGAATTGTCATTATAAGTTCATGTTACATTAATGTATAAGTGGTCTTTAAAAGCAGCATTAAAAATGGAATCAGGGCCCTCCCTGGTGGCACAAAGGGTAAGGATGCAGCACTGCAAGCTAGCCACAGCTGCTTCAGTATGAGTTCGATCCCCAAAGCCAGAAGTGACCCACATGGCTGGCACACCTCTCCTGACCTGCCTGCTGCTCCCCTCAGCAGTGTACTTCATTGATCTGCTTGTTCTGCTCCCCACTGTCTCTGGTGAAGCCTCTCACCATCCTGCACCTCTGGCTTGTACCCCATTTCTGTATGCATACAGAAAAAAATTGAATCGATGAAGTAAAACAGCCTACTGTATTTTAGACCAGATGAGTCTCATGCTGAAAATAACCTAAAGTTCTGACAACATATGCCATAGGAGACAGATAGGAATCCTCTTACCCCTCTTGCCCCCTCATCCCATCTCCACCTCTGCCCTCCATACTTCTGGCCAAGACCCAGCTATTGTATGCATAAATAAATGAAATATATCTTTAAAAAAAGATTCACTGAATGGCATAAAAAAAGAAATAAATTAGACATAAATATTAAGCGAAGAATTGTCTTACAATGGAAGGACTGGGGGACATCAAAATTGCAAAATGTGTCAGGTGGTTGCAGCGGCATGAGGTGTGGGTCTCATTGGAGTAGGTCAGTTCACAGCCCTCTGAAGACCAACTGCCATTCATGGTGTCAAGAGAGTAGTTCCAAAAGGCACACTGACTCCTATTCTTATCTGTGGTCTGAAAAAGAGACATGTTACTGATAAAAAAGAGGGAAAATATTACACATGTAGTAATGTTTTCTTTCATTAAAATCCTGCCTAAAGAGTGAAACATGAAATGCTATTAAGTGAAGATTGCTACTAGGTAGGGCCGAAGTTTCTGTTGCAACAATGCTATATTTTTCAGTCCTCTCTCAGTAAATTTCTTTAATAATTATTATTATCAAATGAGATTGTGTCTGTCAATTAGAGCAGTGCATGGCATATATTACCATGTTATCTTTAGACAATAAATGTTTATTGACTATTCACTAGAACTTAGTCATTAAGCCAGCTACTAAACAACAACTTTGAGCAAAACAGGAAAAAAAAAAATTTATCACTGACCTTATCCTCTAGCAAAGATAAATGAGAAAAAAATACAAGGGAAGGAGAAAATACATTACTTAAGGTTGTAAACTTCAAGGAATGAGAAATACTTGAAAATAAAACTAACACACAATTGGGTCCGCCCTGGTTAAAGCACAGCACTGAGAAGCTAAAGCCTCTTCAGCATGAGTTTGAGCCCCACACCAGAGGAGATCCACATGGTGTGGCAGACCTCTCCTGACCCGCCCGCTGCTCCCCTCAGCAGTGTACTTCATCAATCTGCCTATTCTGCTCCCCATTCTCTCTCTGGTGAATCCTTTCACTACCGCTGCACCTCTGGTCTGTACCCCAGTTCTGTATGTATAAATAAATAAATCTTAAAACAAAAAAACAAACAAAAAAACTAACACAGTTGATTTCAAAGAATTAATTATGTGGAGTTCTTTGGTATTTATTAGAAAGTTCAAAAAGCATTAAAAAAGACTATTTTATATAAAAAATAGTTGAAGTCATTTTAAGAATCACTAGAAAAACAACTTACCTTTATGTGACTTAGTGTAAATGTTATTTGTTCAAGTTCATAGAATGTGGGTGGATTTGAGCTAATTGAGACTGAAATTATTGAAGAGATGACTTTTCCTTCCTCTCCAGAACTGTCATAACTTTGTGGTTCCAATAAGAATTTGTCAGATGATGAAAACAAGGGGCCAATATTCTTATAATATAAAAATGCAACTGCAACACTGCCTATCAATCAAATAAGTATATTTAGTGAACATCTTATAAAAATAAACTAAAACTCTTAAACGTAAAAATTGAACAGATAAAATTTATACTATAAGGGAGTCAATATAAATACTCAGGTACTGCAATGTGGGTTTTAATACATTTATACATACACCATTAGTAATATTAAGACATATTCTCTGATTTTGAAACTGATAATTGTGTTAGTGTCCCCTTTATATAAACTATATTTGGGAGAAGAATAATCTTAGATAAATCTATTTATGTCCTGATAAGAGCCAAGGTGTGAAGTGTATTCATAGATAAACTTTTGAGTTAGTACTTAATTATGCAAATATACAAATTATAAAGATGTTGGGATGGAATTATTATTACAGATTTACAGTATTAAGAACATTTATATTGATTGAGCTGTGAGATGCCACTGAGTTCAACCTCAAGCCCACTGAAGTGTGTCCTATTTAATGTTAATGACGTATGGTTATGCAGGTTCAGGCTAGAGAATTTATTACAGTGTGAGGCAGCCATTTATTCACACATCCTGACACTCCCCAAATGTAGTGCATTAGTATAGAAACCAGTACTAAAATGTAGCAGGACTACCCATGACATTTTCCTTTATCCTGGATACTGCACCTCTGCTAATGGATTCAATGGCCTAGGTTTTTGCAGTCATTAATTATCACTGATTTTGAGTGTGTAAACAATTCAACATCTAGATATTTAACATTTAGTTGTGATCTAGTTCATATCCATCCCCTATTTGTTGTACAGAATTACAGTCACTAAATTAAACACTTTAAATTCGCAATTTAATCTTGGAATTAGAAGTTCTGTCACTGCTGCTCTTTAAATGATCATGGTCAAAGCAATTAACTGTTTCAGATTTTACCTTTCGCACTAATAAAATGATGGTAGTAACAACCTAGCTACTTACTACAATAAGGTAAGGACCAAATTAAACAATATAAGAGTCTTCTGTAAAATTTAAGATGTTATTAATATCATTAATGTTATATGTTATGAACTAGAAACATGTTTACTTTAGCTTACTGGGAAAACTTGGGGGAGCACTGTATCACATTAATTTGTCCCTTCAAATTTGTGACATCTACAAATAATTTGAAAAACATAAACAAATGTTGATAATATCATCCAAAAAGAATTCAAAGGACTATGACACAGAGCGGGAACTATCCATACTGCAATATCACACTAATAATATTCTTTGGATAAGATTATGTGTGCTACTAACTTTTTATATTTCAAGTCAGAAAGGCACTACAAGAGGCATTGCCAAGATACTCTTGGAAATCAAGATACATCAATTATGTAAACTTCCAACTTAGAAAATGTAAAGAAATAATTTGTTAGTGTATCATGATTGGGCTAGAGAAATTTTGATGTCTCCAAGAGATTACAACTTTGCTTTGCACTGATTAGGGCTTGAGAAGCAAGTCATGGAAACATTGATATCACCTTGACCTAGCCCAGATGAACCAATTCATGCAACAGTGACTTCTCAGAGATTGCAATAGGTGATGGTCCAAAGTCAAATAAAGCACCAAAAAAGATAAGATTTTAGAAATCTATTATTCATCATTCTTTCTAAAGGGAATTATTTATTTCACATGAAGGTTTGATTTGGGGTAACATGATTTTTGACAGATAAAATCATCACTTTTTACAACCTTCCTGAATATTGTGCATTTATGCATTCTCATCATTTTTAAATCTTCTTTAATTCCTATGACTTCTCACTAATTCTAGTCATGATCTAGCTTTTAATTCTCTTGTCAAACTTTCATCTCTTTGAGTGAAGCTGAGGTTCATTCACTAACCACAGGAACTAAAAACTTGAAATCACTTAATAAAATGGTCATTTCCTACTTAATAATTATTCATACTTTCTTGTTTTTATTTCTTTCCATTGTTTATTCCACTCTTTTTTGCCCTATGAAAATTTTTATATCTTAAAATTACCATATCTTTTCTAAGTACAAAACATCCTTTTTGACCTTCCTTTATTTAACATAGCTTTCAATTCAATAGCTAGAGCATATATTTAAATAGTGTAAATTATGGTGTTGTTATGAGGTTTTATTTCAGAATTAATATTCATATGCATTTGTTAATAGATTTCCATTTTGTGGTTTTTCTTCTTTATGCCTATTTTATCTTTTTACTTCTCTTCTTTTGAATAAAGTTAATAATACACTATTTTATTACAATGATCCATTCATAGCACTCCAAACTACTGGCAAACTATTGATTTGGGAGGAATTATGGTTTTTACTGATGTTTAATTGCAGGACCAAATTTTTCCATGTAGACTTCCATGAACACCTTAGAGAATCATCATTCCCAAACTGCTTTATTGTTATTTTTACTTAATAATAACTAAAAGCACACACTAGGGCTTCCCAGTCTGCTCTACTTTGTTATCTAAAATATTATCCCAATTTCACAAGTAATTTAAAGATAAATAACAGAAATCTATTATCTTTTTTATGCCAAAACTATAGTTCCTCTTTTCCTTTTTGACCTTCCTTTATTTTCTTATACTCTATAAAAATTCATTTATACTTTCATGTACCTTTCTTATTTTTCTATTAATGACACTATGCATGTTTTAACTAATTGACAAGTTTTATTTATGGATTTTATCAGTAAATGAAAAACCACCTGTAGCTATTGAGTGGGTTCGGCTATTTGTTTTTAGACTTGCCCTTGTTTTTACAAGACAACCTTGAAGAAAACAAATTTTCTCTGTACTTTAAGAGCTGATATTACTGTCCCTTTCAAATGTCAGACTTTGCATGCATTATTATTAAATATAACAAACCTACTCAGACAAGTTCTCTTAGAGGTATTAATTCTAAGACAATTTGATCATCTGTCACCATGATAGATATTTGCAATGTCTTTATTCCTAACCTTTAAACACTGCTAAAATTGTCTGCAACAGTTTAACACATTCTTTGGATTCACTCCTAAATATTATATGTGTGCTTGGTTAATTGGAATGTGATATAATAGAGTAAGAGCTATGGGTTCTGTGACAGTATGGCTTAGTTATTTTTGCTTTGTTTTATAGCCATCTATTTCTTACGGCTGCATAAAAGTGACAAGAAAGAATGGAGAGTATAACATTGATAAGAAAAAAAGATTAAAAAGTTTTTAAGAGTTTATTTTTAAATGAATTAAATTTTTTTAACAATAAAGACAATTTGTCCTTTTACAAAATTATGTTTATATAAGAGAGGACAGGTGTATTATACTTATTTTCATTTGTATCTATGGCCAATTACATGTTATTTGATAAAACATTAAAATTCATGTTTTCCTTATGTCATGTTTTGACCTACATGGGAACAACAGCAACTAAAAGTAAATTTAGCTCTCAGCTGCCGATTGCTTTTTAACAGAGCAGATAAACAATAAAGTTAAAGAGAGTAGCTGCTTGGTCATATGAGATTAAGTGAAAGGAAAAGCTTGTCAGGTCTGACTTCTTTGTTAAGTCTCTGAATTCTAGTACTGGAAGTCTTAAGTTAGGGCAATGAGGCAAGATAAAGAAGGACTACAAATTGGGAAAGAAGAAGTAAAACTATCATTACTTGCAGATGAATGACTGCAAAAGATTTCACTAAAAACCTAAATAATAATAAAAACCTAATAATAATAACAAACTATTAGTTAATAAACACATACAAATTAATAATACATTTTCTTTGTGAAGTGTATGGATACTTTATACAAGCAACAAGTTAGAAGAGAAGGAAAATTCATTAACAATTGCAGCAAAAATAATCAAATACCAAGAAGTAAACTTGACAAAAGATGTGAAGGAACTATACAATGCAAACTATAAGACAGTGTTAAAAGAAATAGAAGACACAAGGAAATAGGAAGATATTCTTTCTATGGATTGGAAGACCAGACATTGTTAAAATGGCCATGCTATCCAGCACTAATGTAGTCCATGTAATAACTATCAAGGCCCCATGCAGCAATATAAACAACTTTAGCTCAGCTATCATCAATTTTTTAAAGTTTTCCCCACACATTTATATAAGAATGAAAATTTCAAGTAAAAAAATACAGAAAGTCTTTGTATAAATATAAAATATTTTTATAGAAAACCACAGATACTACATGTATATAGGTTTACGAAAATGTATATTATGTATATATGATAATCAAGTATATGATCACTATTTATTGCAAATAATTGACATGTCGCATACAAGAGTGTCCAAATCTTACCATTTGAATCATAAGCAGTATTTTTCTTTGGAAATATATTTACATAATCTCCATCCACATTCATATGGGGATGAATACGTTTCATGTGATATGAATCAAAAAAGAAAGCTTTGAGGGCTGAAACAAAGGAATGAAAATCAAAAATTCTCTGAAATTAGTTTAGTCAATTTCATTCATCATTATTATATTTTAACTTCTCATAAGGATATATTCAAAATGAAAATAGTTTGGATATGTTTGGACATTATAATTTTTATCTTAAAATTTACTTTAAATATTTAATCAATGTTTCTAAAGAGTACATTTCTACCTTAAAATCTGATAAAGTTTAACTCTTTTCACTTGTTTTTAATTTTTCAATACAATTCTTTAGTTCTACTGCTCACAAACTTAATTTAATCTTTATTGTGTCACATAAAAGACAAAACATATATATATATATATATATATATATATATATATATATATATGCTGGGGGTCCATAAATCATAATAACTAAATCAGAAACAAGCTACTACAATATCTTAGAGGATAGTATCTATAGTTTAGCATACTATATATAGTCATTGAGTGAAATTCTTGAGTGATAATTTTCTTACCTGCTATATTTTCACCTTTATCATATAGGAACATCACAGCAATGTAATGCTCCAATATATTATTAGTAACAAGTTTTGATACTTTAATTTGAGTAAGAGATGAATACTGATGAGCTAATCATTTTTGAATATCTACTGGCATAACAGGATGTGACCCAGAAAAAAATATGAATGTGTATATGCAATGATTCAGAAAATGTATCTTGCTTTTCAGAAAAACCTTATAGGTATCCTCAATATGATCTAAGATTTTGAATACTTAAAAGTGTGATTGTGTGGAGTAAGCATTCTAAATTTACTATGCTGATTGCCTCATTTTATCAAAAACAAAGGATTCCAAAGTGAAACTTAAATATACTACATCCACAAAACTCTGTAACTAACAATGGTCAACTTGTGTCCTAACGAGTTATGAGAGGACTGAGTCAAAATGACAAGAGAATAATATACTTTGAGCATAGATGCTAAGGAGTTCAAGAATAGAAAAGGTAGATGGTAAAAAGGTGGCAATTTTTACATACCCATTCTTTTATCTTGTATTTCACTGATATTATTCATTATTCAATTCTACATTAATAAAATGCCAGCTTAATCAACAGCTATTTTTCTTCCCTTTTTGAGAAGGACTTGATTGGAAACACTAATGCTTTATAATTTACTTGACTTCTTACCTATGTCACTTGAGTTAGTATCAAACTGAGTGGTCTTTTGAAAGTTTTGAGATATTTTTAAAGTAGTTTGTTCCACGGTATGCATCAGTTTTGTAAGATGAGTTCTTCTAAGATTTGTAGGTAATTTGTCCCAAATTTTGAATGTATCCTTTTGTATAATATTATTCACAGTTTTTATATATTCCTGTTGGGAAAAAAAAAAAAACATGTCTTTTAAGATGCTGGATTAATACACTAATTGCTGATGTAAGGAAAAAATTAAATTTCAGTTAAGCTTGTAGTTAAAGTTCAACATACTTACAATGAGTGTTGAATTAGAAAGAGTGTCCTTGGCTGAACTAGTGCTATTTATGTAACCCAGTAATGGGGAAGATCCAGTTAATATTTCTACACATGTAATTATATCCATTGGTGAAAGATCTTTCACAGAATTTTTATAGACTTCTTGTAGCAAAGTCACAGGTTCTTTGTGTCTAAGCTGAACAAATGAGCACAAAAAAAGAAAGTAGTTTAGAGCATGAGAGGATCTTTTCAGGAATAAAGTTTGTATATCAAATTTATTGTGAACTTGGTTTTCTTGCCCTATACATCTGTAATTTAGCCACCTAAACCTCAACTCAAATATGCAACCCTTAAATCTGAGATTATTTAAAATGTTTAGCAAATAACTTCAAAAATTTATGAGTTTCTTCAAAAAAGACAGAACATAGTTAAGCTGATGTTTTTAAAACTTAACTTTTAAAAATTAAAATTATATAATTATGAATTATATAAATTATAAAGTAAATTGTAACTTAGCAACCTGAATTAGATTTTAATCAGCCAGAAAAAATTCTTTATAGTGAGACAAAATGGAATTTTACTTTCACTAACAGCTACTCATGTTGAGATTCACACTTTCAATCATATGCAAATAAGTGTTCTAATTTATTTACTATTTGAAATATTCACTTTGAAGTAAAAAAGCAATTGTGTTCATGTCTATGGAAATAGACCTGGGGTCATAGTGTGTTTCTACTTTTATTCCTCAGCTTCTTTTGTTGAAATAAATTTTTAAGCACACCAAATATAAGATGAGTTAAATACATAAAAGTCATCTCTAATACTTTGGGGATTTCATACTAATCCTATTTGTGACTCAAACCTGATACTGAGATCTCTACTTGCAGATAATTTCAAAACTGACACAGAGAGATTGCTTGTTATTTTTCTTAATTGTGACAGTGGAAGAATTTTAACTGTAACTAAAATGCCAATATTTAAACAAATGTCATTCAACTAATCTACTTACTTTTTTACAAGTTTTTTGAATTGTTGCAGTGATACAATCGCTATCTGAAAGGCAGTCTGGATTCATATTTTCTGTAAAAAAGAAAATAATTACATTCTTTAAAATGTATTGTTTTGAGACCTCCCTGGTGGAACAATAGATTAAAGCACAGCATTATGAAGCTATCAGCAGCCACTGAGACACGACTTCAGTCCCAAATGGCACAGCAGATCTCTCCTGCTGTGACCCACCCACTGTTCCCCTCAGCAGTGTATTTCAATACATCTGCCTGATAAGCTCCCCACTCTGTCTCTGGTGAATCATCTCTCCTCCAGCACTTCTGCCCTATACCCTAGTTCTAGTATGCATAAATAAATAAATAATATTCCCTTAGATGATTGTGTTGATGTTTTCCAGTGATTTTTTTTTCTCATTTAATCATTAAAAAATCTTAACAGTTTTCGTTTTCCTTGTTGGTATTTTAAAAATTTTATTCATAATGAAAAGGCATTTACTTTTTTTTTTTAAAGATTTATTTATTTATTTATTTATTTACTTATTTATATAGAACTGAGGTACAGGCCAGAGATGCAGAGGGTGAGAAGATTCACCAGAGACAGAGCGGGGAGCAGAACAGGCAGATCCACGAAGTATACTGCTGAGGGGAGCTGCGGGAGGGTCAGGAGAGGTCTGCCTCGCCATGTGGATCTCCTCCAGGGCAGGCGGGAATTGAACTCATGAAGAAGCAGCTTTAGCTTCTCAGTGCTATGCTCCAACCCGCTGGCCACCAGGGAGGGCCAGGCATTTACTTTGCCCACTAAAATATACAATATTTTGTAAAAGATAGAAGATTGTAGTTACTTCCCAGGAGTCAAGACTGACAAAGCTGAGTCTGCATTATCAGAAGAATCCTTAAAGCTATTTAAAGCTATTTAATAAAGGGTTGGCTATATATATTCTGGCCCAAACTGGTTGTACTATAAAGCAACATACACAAAGTAGACACTCAGTGGCCTATAATTAACTTAGACTCATTAACATCTATTTGCATATTAGCATGGCTGCCTAAGGAGTCACTTATCTTGCCATTTTCTGAACATGAGATTCATGCAGAGGCTGGATCTGGTCATGAAATTACACTGTCCCCACTCAACCAACATTCCATGCATTTCACCCTGCTCCTACCCTCCCTATATTCCCATAAAAATACTGACTCCTTTTAGAAAGGGGAAACAGAGCTTTGAGATTGTTTTTTCTGTCTTGATTCATGTAATAAATTCTTGCTTACAAATCTTCAACTTGGTCTGGTTAATTCGTTAACATATGCCAAGCAACAAACTCTTTGTGTTTTTCCTTTGGGTGTGTTAAGTAGAACAATACATAGTCCATAGCTTTCATTTAAACAAGATGATATATATATATATTTTTATTTTGTCAATGCTAAAATATATTTGTAGGAAGGTGTACCTTTTTGATACTTTACAACATTGTAGTAAATATTTTACATAGTTCTTTGATAATACATACATTGAATATAACTTACCTTGACAATAAGTGCCATCATTAGGTGTGAACTGTGATTTTCCTGTTGATGTCTGATAACCTTCCTCACAAGAGCAAATATAACCACCAATGATGTTTTTACAAACTGCATGATCACCACAGACTGCTGATTCGCTGCACTCATCTATATCTGCAAATATTTGAAAAAATACTTCTTTTTAATTTAGTGCTTATGAACTGCCATCTTTTTGATAATAGTGTGACAGATACATCTCCATGAAAAGGGGAAGGACACAGAATAATAGGTGCCATTTCCCCCTCCTCTATTTGCTTGAAGGCACCTTGGATTATAAGTCTCAATATGCCATGAAAGAGACTGAAAGGAAAACAGCTGAGAAGGAGCAAGGTAGGGAGATAGGACAAAAAGAAGACATGTAAAAAGGACTTAGAGGCGACACATAGAAGGAAACATATTTAGAAGATAGGAAGAGCATATGGGTGAGAGACATGGGGGCAAGCTGCCCCTTGTCCTTGGCAGTGACAGTGACACCCATTATCTTGACCTAATGTTGGAGTTTGTGGTTATGGATTATGTTAATGTGGATTAAGGATATTGTTAATTTTGAGTCTCAACTTCTGTCTCATCTCTCTGAGACCTATTTAACTCCTTTCTGTGGTTCCTTGCCAGGAGGCACCTTAGACTTGTGACAAGCTTTTGGACCTTGGTGACTTCACTTTGGGCCATGTCACACCTGATTGGCTGCACATTTATCCATGAGGGGATTGGCGACTTGGGGAATTTTAATGGAAAATTATTCTTTGAAATTCATTCTTCTCTTTGCATATCAAGTCTATTAAAACTCTTTCATGCTAAAGTAGGCCTCTTTTGCCTATGTGTGTACTTGGCTTACCTTTTTAGAGCATGCCACCTCTTAATAGGTAGGTACCCTAGAGTACCCTAGAGTAATAGGTACCCTAGAGTACCCCTCAGTCATGTATTAATACTATTATTACGACAAGTTAATGAATTCATGTCAAAGTTTACAATAGGCAAGGAAAATCACATCTGTTGGAAAGGAGAGGAAAGTTAGGTACACTTTAAAAAAAAAACTTTTAATTTGGCCAATCTATTTTGACAGAGCACGAAAATTTACTTGTGGGTTAAACTCTTATTTTGTGACTAGAATGATTAGTCAATAAAATAACTGAAGCAATTTTCATCATTGACCATTTAGTCTTAATTTAATAAAAGCCTATTTTAAAAATATATTTTAAACTAAATGGACTATCACAACTTAATAAATAGTAATTTGGGGGATACAATAGAGTGATCTATTTATTTCTGAAGCTTCATTTTTGCTGTAAGTTAAAAAATCGGGTCCTCCATGGTGGCGCAGTGGGTTAAAGCACAACACTGAGAAGCTAAAGCCACTTCAGCATGAGTTCGATCCCCGCCCAGGAGGTGACCCACATGGTGCAGCAGACCTCTCCTGACCTGCCCACTGCTCCCCTCTGCAGGGTACTTCAGTCGGCCTGTTCTGCTTCCCACTCTGTCTCTGGTGAACCCTCTCACCGCCCTTGCACCTCTGGTCTGTACCCCAGATGTGTATGCATAAATAAGTAAATCTTTTTAAAAAAATAATGTGTGATTCAATTTCTTCAAACTTTACTAAAAGTTATTCTTTGTTTTCTGATTATATTCTACTGCAATTGTTAATATACAACCATTATAGATAGAATAACAAATTGTACAGAATTAATTTTCCGATTTTAGTAGCCATACATCAAAACCACAGTAAAAATACTAGTTTTAAACTCACATAATTTATATCCCTAATTTAAAATTTTACATACTACAGCAAGATGTTTTAAAGTAATAAATACAGTATAAATATTATGCCACAATAAGAAATGATTCCAAAGAACTGAAGAGTACAGATCATTACCTTAAAGTAATGCAAATTTTTTTTGTGTTCCTAGCTCTGACATCTTAGAGACTCTATGTTAGATTAATGAATAAGCCTGTAATCTCAAATATACAATGCGATTAAAAAAAAAAAAAACAAAATCAGTGGCATAATACTGTTTGCCATAAAAAAGGGGCATAATCAAAGAACGATTTAAAATGCCATTTACTTAGTTATCTTAAATGAAGCTGATCCTTATTTCTTACTTCAAAAAAGGCTCATAAAGCACTAAAACTCACAGTACCAGAAAGTGAAAATGACAGTAAGCCTTTTGCCAGATTTAAAAAAAAACAAAAAAAAAAAACCTTCCATTTGTAGGAAACTGCATGGCACTCGTTTTTAGAAAATAATTAGCAAAATAAGACCTGGAGAAAATGTAGAAAACCCTGTCTTCTGCCAAATCTATAACGTCACATTGTACACGCTCTATGCACAAATCCACGTTCACTGCTTTCAAAGAAAAAGTATGCTAAACCTGCACTCTCTATGTATGTGTGTCTCTGTGTGTGTGTGTGTGAGAGAGAGAGAGAGAGAGAAAGAGAGAGAGAGAGAACACAACATAAATGCTTTGTACCAGAGAAGTCAAGACCTTCTGCTTCTACTATCTTCATCCTATCCCTTGAGACCCCTTGGCCACATAACAAAATATAGAGAACTGTAGAATACTGAAAGAATAGGGCCTCCCTCCCTGGTTGCACAAGGGGTTAATCACAGTACTATGAAGCTTACTGCAGCCACTGCAAAATGAATTTGATTCAGAGCCAGGGAGGGACCCACAACGCGCAGCAGACTTAGCCTGTCTTGCGCTCCCCTCAGCAGGCTATTTTAGTACATTTGCCTGTTCTGTCCCCTTTCTGTCACTGGTGAATCATCTCACCTCCCTGCACCTCTGGCTTACACTCCAGGTCTTGTATGCATAAATAAATAAATCTTTAAAAAAAATATTGAAAGAGGGCTCTGTCTCTGGTGGTGCAGCAGGTTAAAGCATCACATTATGAAGCTCTCGGAAGCCATGCAGCAGGAGTTTGATCCCCTGCCAGGGAGATGACCCACATGGCATAGCAGACCTTTCCTGACCCGCCTGCTGCTCCCCTCAGCAGTGTATTTCAGTAGATCTGCCTGTTCTGCTCCCCACTCTGTCTCTGATGAATCTTCTCACCCACCACACCTCTGGCCTATACCCCTGTTCTGTAAGCATAAATAAATAAATCTTTAAAAAAATGTATTGAAAGAATATCTGGTTTCCAAATGGGATGAAATAGGTTTAATCACAATGAGTATTGCTGCTATTTTACAGCAAGATGCACACCAAATTCTCTTGCAGGTTTTGTTCTGTTTTGTTTTGCAGTGCCCAATAGGTTTGCGTCCAATAAAACCATACAGGTTAACCTGCAGAAGACCTTCATCGCAATTTTTACTCTTCTATTCCTTAACTGGGTGACCTTGGGTAATAATTAGGAGTCTGTTTGCATAATAAATGAGTAAATGTCTATGAAGTTCTTTATAGTGGTACCTAAGATATAGTAGATACCTAGTGTTGTAATTGGCAAATCAAGATCAGTGGTTCTATTTGTGTGTCTTTTTATTATTAAGAATCTTATGAATATGTAGCTTTGGAGAAAAATAAAGATTCATAATGTGTGTCTTACTTGATTTTCATGTGTTGGTATTCCTCAGAACTGTAAAAAAGAAAAAGAAAAAGAACTCTCTCTTCTACCTTAATGATAGCTAAAGTGCTACTATGTAATTATTTTAGTCAGACTGCAGTTGACTTACCATATTTAATAATTGACCCACTTTTTCCATTATCAAACAAATGCTTGACATACTTATAACTTGATTTAGCTAAATGTAAACACATCATAACAATCATTTGCTTGATTTGTACATCAAAAAGTTCATTTGCTACTTTTTCATTAATAAGTTTATGCTTGTTTTTCATGTGTACAATAAGCCAGTCTAGCAGTATTTTATCATAAACTTCTTTCAAAACGCAATCATATGATTATCCTGATTATTTTCTTTTTTGTTTATTTATTTATGCATACAGAACTGGGGTACAGGTTAGAGGTACAGGGGCGGCGAGAGGATTCACCAGAGACAGAGTGGGGAGCAGAACAGGCAGATCCACAAAGTACACTGCTGAGGAGAGCAGTGGGCTAGACAGAAGAGGTCTGCTGTGTCATGTGGGTCACCCCTGGGGCAGTGACAGAACTCACACTAGAGTGGCAACGGCTTGGCTTAGCTTGGCAGTGCAGCACTCCAACCCGCTGTGCCACCAGGGAGGGCCTGATAGTCTGATTCTTATCATTTTTATCGATAATTTAATTTTCTAATGTTATTTAACTAACAGACTGCAGAGAAAAGATAAAATGTTCAATTACTGGAAGTAATTTGCAAAGACAAAACTGAATGGTACCATTATTCCAAACCAGAAAAAACTCTGAAATTGTCAGATTACCCAAGGCAGTAACATAAAAATTAAAGCATTAAACACTGGTCTTAAAGATATGGTAAACACAAAATTGTTCTTGGGTTCTACTATTGAGGCCTTTGGAAGAGTCTCTTACTATTGGAAGCCTGTTCCCCGTTGTGAAATGTCAATCTGGAACTAAGTTTCTAGGATGATGGGCATCTGAAGTTCCATTTACTACGCTTCCAAGGGGGAGAAATATATGGTTAGTGGTAAAACCCAAAGCCTCTGTGTGTCAAACTTACTTTACCTATGGTAAAATATTTGAGTATGGAATAAGGTAAACAATTTCACCTGGGTCACTTCTTGCCTAAATTGTAGCTTTTCATTATTTCTGGAGGTTCTTAGTGACTATAATTATCAGCCATGCCAAATTTAAGGATCAGCTAAAATTTCAAACCAGGTGTAAAGTGAAGCACTAATGTAGAAAAGGAATGGATTTGGGTTTTCTCTTTAAGTTCCCTGAAGATTATAATAGTGCAGAATGAAAATTACTGTAGAACTGGAAAAAAGCTGCTCTTCTTTTCAAAAGAGCTTAATCTTTAAGACAATAGAATTGGTGAGAAATAACAATTTTCCAGACTATGAGTTTTTCACTGAATAATCCATCATATAAAGCAGGTAAAAACTGAAGGATGCAATAGTGGGTATTGTGTTTATTGGGTTTTAACATAATGGCTGAATTTATTAATTACTTGAAAAAGCTAAAAAAAGAATTTAGGAGATACTTGGGGTGACTCCATCTTTATCAGTAAGAAATTAAAACTGTGAGTCATAAATTATAAAAATATTACATCCCAATAGAATGTTATCATTCAGACATCTTTGTGTATATGTTTTTGGTGTCTGTGATTTGCCTTTCCCCCCCTACTATAGGAAATCTTTACTTGTTTGGAATATAAACAGAGAAACATAGCCCTTTGCGAATTGAGATGTATAAAAGTAAACATGATTGGATGAAAAGACAGATGCCTCTGCAGACAAGAGGGAATGGGAACACAAATTGTATTAAGTTCCAGTGATTAAGATGTGACAGACTTCTTTACTCTCTGGAACATTTCTAGTAAAGCTTGTAGAAATATAAAATTAGAACTTAAATATTAAGAGTAAACATGCACACACTCACTTTCTAAGTTGAATAAGGGCAAGAGTAAAAACTTCAGAGGAACAGTGTGGTACTGTTCTCTGGATGTCTTATTTCTGGACTATATTGTAATGGTATATTTCAATAAGAATATTTGCTGCAAATACACAAGTTAAAAATATCATTCAATTAAAATAGTATTATTTTCTAGTATTTGAAATCTTTTATGTCCATGCAAAGTTTGAGCCACTGAATTTTCATGATTCAGTTTTAATTGGTGAGATTTCAGTGGTCCACTAAAGTATCCTTGGAAATAGCAGATGCTTTCTAGATCCAAGGCTGTGAGTCTAGTCCTCCCTGAACATTTTCTAAGAAAATGTAAAGCCCATCTGAGAATTTCAGAGTGCATCCATATCTTGTGATGCAAATGATAATTTTCTTGTTGGCACATTATATTAAAGTATAAATATTTATTCTTTTTGATTTTGTGGGGGTGGAGTGGGGATTGGGATCAAAAACGGGAGGGTGGGGAGGGAAGTGCATGGGACTATGGTGATGGCACAGGGGTGACTTGGTGATGGGAAACACGTGGGGATTGCAATTGAGATGAAAAAAAAGAAAAGTACAAAATGATGTAAAAATAAACTGTTATAAAATAAAAAAAAATCATTAAAGTACTGAAAGAAACCTAACAAAATATTTACTAAATTTTGGTGGGAAAGATTTTCCTTACCATACAACTTAGAAGCCAAAAAATAAAAATGTCAACACATTGTCAATACTGACCTTGTATATATTTCAATCAATAATAAAGTATAATCTTTGCTTATTTATTCTGTTTGATCACTATGCTAGAGTTCACAGGTTCATAAATTTGTAAGTTGTATGAATTTTTCTCAACACAAACCTCTTTTTCTTATGTCTCTGGATAAATATTACTTAGTAGCTATTAAACAACATTGGAAATGGAAGAGAGGCTTCTGAAAGTATTCAACAACTAAGGTGGACTTAAGGAGATCCAGAATTTTATTAGGATATTATTTAATATACTTTAATATAAATATACTATATTATTTAATATACTTCTCAAAGTAATAAGCAATAAGAAAGATAAAAATTTTGTGCGAGATTGTTGAACTTACCTACACAGATGGTTCCATCATTTGTGATGAACCTTTCTTGGTTACTGCTGGATCTAAAACCGGGCACACACATACAATAGTAACTTCCCTCTGTGTTAGTGCAGTTAGCATTTTCACCACAGGACTGCGTTAAATTTCCACACTCATTATCATCTGTGGACATACCAATTTAAAACATTATTTTTATGGAACTCAGATGAATTCCTAATTTACCTATCAATATTTGGGAATTTTGACTATTGGATTGCATATTCATTTTTAAAAAAAGTTAACGATTCCCACACTTGCTTTATTCTTTTTTATAATGCAGAACCTGCACTGTATGTTCATAATGTGCCTTTGGATATAGCTTTTACATATTATGGGTCAATTTAAAGATGCCAAGGACAAAGAAGGAAATAATATGATTTATGTCTTTTCACCTTTCACCTAACTGCAGATTAGCTTCCTACCTTGTGGCTTCCAAGAGAATGCCCTAATTTATACATGAGCAGAATGGCTGTTACTACCTTCCACTGAAGTCTCCCAGTGAACCAGGCCCCATACTAAGTACTTCATCTGCAATATCGGACTTACATTTTAAATCCTTTATAACCCCTCTGAGACAGACATCACTTTCATTAAACAAATAGGAACACAAACATAAAAGTTTGGATTAACTTGCCTTAAAGCATACAGGTAGTAAATGACAAAATTTTATTTAAGACAGGGCATTCTGAATGCTAATATGATCTCATTTTTCTTAAGTACTACATTATAAAAAGAATTCATAATTGTAGTTATCTTTTATTGAGTGTTTATTATGTGCTACTCAGTGTGATGGAAAATTTCCATAATATGGAAAATATATTGTGATTTCCTCAAAAGGTTGTCAAAAGGATTAAAAGTGTTAATAGGCAGATAAGACTTAGAGTGATATCTAGTGGCCTGTACCCCAGTTCTTGTATGCATAAATAAATCCTTTAAAGAAAAAGAAATAAGATCTTATCATGCTCTAGTAAAATCCTTAACAGCTATGGCCTTTAGCATGTAATGTAAGTGCTTTCATAAGTGTGTGAAACTTCTTTCCTTGCTGCATATAAGTGGGTTTTCAAAGTCTGGGAATCAGTATTAATCACTCACCCTTTCTCACATAAAATAATAAATATATATTAAAAATCTATAATTGAATCTATTAAAAATCTCAACATGCCCAGAAATTCCATTAGAATGGATAAGATATATCTGTCCTAAATATAAGGGAAAAATCAAACTAGTTTTGTCACAATGCAGTTATGGTACTGCATTTTTTTTTAAGTTACCCAAAACATCAATATATGGTGCCATTTCATGTCATGATGTAGAAGTTATAAATTTACTTCATAAGAGATCTCTGGATCCACATTCCCAAATATTTGAGATCTGACCTTGACTTTTTAGTGTGCTGTGAGTTTGAAAGCTCAACAACAGATCTTCATGACTCTGAGGGTGTTTTTCAAGCATATCTACCCAAAGGAAGACTGCCAAGCCTATATTAGACCCTTATTCTAGAACATAGGCAAATTTGTCCCCCAAACAATGGAAGCAAGCCTCACCTAGCATGTCGTCTGTGCTGGGTATACACTCAAATCTCTACTCTGCATACATTGACAATTAAATTGCTTAGAAAAAAAAAAAACATTCAAGAGAAAAACCAATCAGCCATGAGAAGCAAAACTATATTTTCAAAGTTTGAATAGGCCACCTCACACCTAAGGTTTTTTCCATTGGTATGGCATTAGTTCATTTTTTTTTAAAGCATAACACAAGTACCTCTCTGATAGGTTTAAGACAGTCCCTTGGTCCCCTTGAAAGTTCTAATCCCTAGCATATGATCTATTTATTTTTGATTAAACAAGAGGGCAGAATAGCAAACCAAGACTTTTGAGGGCCCATTGGGGGAGCTCAGAACAACTTAGAGACTTGCAAGACCAAAAGTGTAGTTCTCAAAAGCTTTTACAGATCAGGCAGGTAGCTCGAGTTTGACACCACCAACTGCCATACAACAGAAATTTGGTGTGGCTTGTCATATTTGTAAGTACTCATCTCACTTAACAGGAATTAAAATTTGAAAAAATTTAAAACCATTCAAATTACTTTGGCTGGCTTTATTTGTTCAGGTATTATCACACCTAATTTAAAATGTGACTGGAGATGAGGAAAATTACTAAAAACATGAAAATAAGATAAATTGAGAATGGTCTTACAGAAAATGCTAAAGTGTAATTCTTTATATCATGTGTCTGTTTGCTTACTAATTTGTTTTGCATAAAGAAATATATTCTGGTACCCTATATAACTGTGTGCACATATATATTCAGAAAGCAAACCAATATGCGTAAATGTGCATACAAAAGATATTCGATTGGTTTATTAAAACTAACTGAGGGCAGCTCACAAATTGAACACAAGCATCTAAATCAAGTTAAAAATATTTCACAAATCTTGGTTTTGATTCAATCATTCAGTTACTCAAATATTTATGAGGCTTTCCAGTTCCCAAATGTGAATGTGTCTATACTGGGAAATAAGTAAAAATTAATCAAAAAGTTGGGATCTGTGCCCTACTGTCAGAGTTCACATTCTAAAGTAAGTTAACATGGGAGCATATAATTGAGTTCTTATTAAAATAAAAGTTTCAATCTTTATCTTAAAATGTGACTCCCTTCACAGCATACAGGGAGAACTTTATATTAACTTTAAAAGGAATTGTGCTGTCAGATCAGTTATTGGTAATATAGAGAATAATGAAGACTGTATCCCTTGTGGTCTATAGCTGCAAAATAATATGCAAAAATACAGAGAAAAAGACCTCTGTAAGTCTGAAATACTGGTCACGTTCCAAGAAAATGAGCCACTTTAGATCACCTGTTGTTTAGAAAATTACTGTTTTTGAAACTAAATTAATATGCCAATATGTGATTTGACTCCAACATATTTTTTTTTACTAGTCTTGAGTAACTAGTATTAACGTGGCACAAAGACAAAGACAGACACTGACTTTTCTTCCCCTTCTGTGCAGTTTTGAGCAGGTTATGTCAAATTCATTATCAAGAATTTGGAATAAAAATATTTCTTATCTCTCTCCCAATCATCTGGACTGGATATACAATATGGATGAATTCCCTAATGGGTTGATTCAAATCTTGTTCCATAACATACCACTTTTCTGAAAGCACCTCCTCTCTTCCCTCAAGATAGTGAAGATAGGCAAGAAATTATCTTTGTGAAGTTATATACACACATACACACACACACATATATATGTATGTATGTGAATTATTTAAATAACTTTAAAACTTTTTGGCATCCAACTTCATAATAATTAACTTTCAAGGAGAAAGTTTCTTTAGATATTTATAATACAGGGATATAGAAACAAACTTCTATTGTGTTCTTAATTTCAGTGTTCAAATCAATTTATCAGTGGTTGTTCACTTTCTGTATCTCTATATCTAGTTGTTGAATTATAATAGGAATATTTAGGCTAGGATTTCACTTTAATGAGTTACTAAAATGCTGTTAAACTGCAGATAATGTTTTGAAATGATTCAAAAATTTAATAAGGAGAAAAGCTGGTATACTTTAAGCAAAAACCAATTTTTAAAACAGTGACACATACCAGATTTCAAATATTTATTAATTGGTGTAAATGCCAGCACACTGTATCAATGACTTCATACATTAAGAGGGGAAATATTTCCTGGTTAAGTAGAAAATTATGCAGATGGCTTCTGGAAGACTTCATTTTAAACAACATTTTATTGAGAAGTCTGGTCCTCCTTTCTTCAGTTTGCTATAACATACAGAGTAGCAGAGCATATAGTGATCACTTAGACCCAGGATTCTGGGTTTTCTTTTTGTCTCACAAAAAGACAAAAAGAACATCTATGCCCGGTGCATAACACAGTACTGCTCTAACACCTCCAATTTCAACAAACACAAGAAGGGGGATCAAGCTCAGAGGTTTCTTAGCCTGAAAAAGCATGTGGCAGAACACGACTGCACCACAGGCTTTAGCTAGGAAGAATAAATCTGCAAGATCCGGGACTGAGTAGTCTCTGCCTCAAAACTCATCCCAGCTCATCTCTAATACATTGAAAGGAGAAATGACAAGAACACATGCACAGCTGTAGCTTCTAACACAGCAGGATCCAAAACTACTAGAGAAGGTGGACAAAGAATACATTTATTAGAATGTATTTTGTGTAGCAAATAAAGGGGATTTTAACAGGACAGTAATAACTCAGAGAAGAAACTGGGCTCCTTAGCAAGTTTTCAGAATAAAGGCATAAAGTTCATTTCCAGGAAATGTTTAGAAGTGTGGCTGAGTAAGGCATTGAAATATATAAATTATTTAGATAAACAAAAGGGGCCCCAAATATCCATTCAGACAGAGGAAAGAACATCCTCAAATGTTTGATGATCTGAGGAGATGTGTACTGTAGACACTTTTACTGCTGAAAACTGAGTGTATGGGTAAAAGGTGAAAGGCAAGAGAATCTGTGTAGGAAGATGGCCTAGTTAAGCAGAAAACATTTGCTAATTATTTGGGACTACATTCATCAAGTGAAGGATGGCTATCATCAATCAGATTTTATGTATTAGAAAAATCTGTTTGGATTTGAATTTCAAAAGTTTTTGAAATATAAAGAAATGCAGCTGACAGCCAAGTTGATGGGGGTAATACATAGTAAGATATATATATATATATGTAAAGCAGAGTTGAAAAGGTGGGTGGCTTGTATTTCAGAAATATTTAGATGTTAAATCAGTGATCTGGGGAGAGAAAAGAAAGTAGGTAGGGTTAAAATAGATCAGGAAGGAATTAAAAATTCGAATTCGTCATGGGGGTAATGCTTCTAGGTGGATCATTACTTTTTTTTAACTTGTGCATTTAAGTATTTTTATAATAAAAATATTTTTTGAAATATCAGTAGGGCTTCGGTACCAATTGAATATGAGTTGGTCCGAGAGAGGAGCAGCAAGAATGACTTCCAGGTTCCACCCTGGGAGGATCAGTTTAGAGAAACTGATGCACTGACCTGGATGGGGAAAGTGAAGAAGAACGCTGCTGAGTTCTAAAAGAGCAAGTTCATTTTCAATTTGGGAGAATTGTAGTGCAGTGAGAATAT